CTACCATGGGCCTTTGCCTCTGCTACTCACAGCTGGGCGGGAGCAGAGGCAGATTTAAGGAAGCATGGCCACACTGGGCACCAAGCCTAGGGGGCGCTGCAGGGCATCGCAACTATGACGTAGCAAAATTGAGGAGAGGGGAAGGTGAGGGGCTCCACGCTTTTGCTGGCCGGCAGTATTTGAATTGCCACTTATTCTTAAGGGCTCTTTGTTCTTGCTAATGGCCCATCTAGCCCTAGGCAACTTCCTGAGCACAGAAAAATGGTTAGTCTTTCTTTTTGAAATTGCCAGATTTAGCATTTGGCAGCTTCCCTTAAGACTCCAAGCACTGATTTATTTGTGACATTTAGTAAATCTAAGAATTTAGGAGGATCTGACCACCCACAAATGCTCATAACCTACAAACTAGCTCCTATCTAGCTCCACCTACAAACTCATAACAGTATTATTTGCAATCCTGTCTTTCCCCCCACTTCCTCTTAAAATAATGTATATTGTTTTAGCAAAAACCCTATTTATTTATTTATTTTTACTATTGCTGTAAAGGATTGCTGTCTCCATTTAGTTTAATTTACAAGGAAGGAGGGTTGTGATGATCAATGAACAGGAGCAATTAACTGAAGTGAGAGTGGTGGATGCAGATACATTTTAAATTTTATTTTATGTTTAAATATATATTAATTATAACATGTATAGGAAACCCACAGTCCTCCAGATATTGTTAGACTTAAGCTCACACCAGTCTCAGCCATGCTGGCCAGTGGTCATGGAAGATTGTGTTATAGAATTGTGGTCCAACAACATTTGGAAAGCCACACGTTTCCTGTCCATGAATTAGAGAGTGTTGCCATTTCTCAGGCGTTGGTGTTGTGTACTGTGTTGAAAACAAAAATTGCCCTTTTCCCTTATGGGGTATCCAAGAGCCCATATAGAGTCCTTACATAGGTTCCCTATTGGTAGGAGAAAATAACAGAGGCCAACCAGAGAATATTGAGAAGCAAAGCAGCTAGTAAGCTTGATCTTTATTGATCTGTTGCAACAGGGTGCTCCCCTCACCCACAGGAGAGAGGAGGAACCCAGAAAAATGGCGTGCACGGCCTTATAAAGACTATTGAAATTGCCACCCTGTAGATCAAGACCACCCCCAGAAACATCATACATACATCACAGAAGGGGTGTAACCTAAGACCACCCCTCAGATACATCACACCTACATCACAGAAAAGGCAGTCCAAAATAGAAATTTTAATATTGTTTTTCTCCTGTTTTTGTTTATCTCCTGTCTGGCAGGTTACTTGATTGGATTTCCTGGGTAGCCTGGCCAGTCTTTTGTAATGATAAATACTTAGTTCCTGGGCCAGGTCACAGGCTCACACCTTATTCAAACACAGACATACCCTTAAGACAGGATTTGTGAAGGAAAAGACAATGGGGAGGCTTTTCCATTTTGACCTTGCAGAGAAAAGATTTGGTCAGTTTAGGAATCAAAATGGTTCCAGGTTGGTCTTCCTGTGCTGATCTATGTGCGTGCTTGGTTGGTACACTTATGAACATTACCATATATCTAAGACCATAAAATTCCTATTACAACTGCCCACCCTAAAATGGGTATGTATTTTCTTAGGGAACAAATTTGGAACCTTTTGCAATCAAAGCATGTGCTCTATCCCAGAGCTACAACCCTTCTTCTTCACGTGTGCAGCCAGAATAATGCATAAATCAACATGTGTGCTGTCAAATCGCCAGTTTGAAGGGATTTCTGCCACTCTAGGTAGGCTTCTAAATGTGACTGCATGGAACAAAGCACGTGCACACCAACACAAAACGAAAATGCACAGGGGTGTTGTACCAGGGTGCACAATGCATGTGGATTAGAAGGCGTTTTATAGCAGCATGTGCTGTGTGCGCACATTGTACTAGGCCCCAATAGAATTTCTGAGTTCCCATAAAAAGAACCTCTTGGATCTAGCCCTGATTTGTTTCCTAAGCAGCCTATATCTAGAAAATGTCAAAATCCCATTGACTGGAAAGTGGATGGCTCTAGCATTCACGGTCAGTGTTCACAGCACCACTTAGAGCTTTTAAATTTCCCCCACCATAGAATTGCTGTGATATTTTGTTTTATGAGCATGAAGAAGTATAATAATAATAATAATAATAATAATAATAATAATAATAATAATTTATTTATACCCCGCCCATCTGGCTGAGTTTCCACAGCCACTCTGGGCGGCTCCCAATCAAGTGTTAAAAACAGTACAGCGTTAAATATTAAAGACTTCCCTGAACAGGGCTGCCTTCAGATGTCTTTTAAAAAGAAGATAGCTGCTCATTTCCTTCACATCTGAAGGGAGGGCGTTCCACAGGGCGGGCGCCACTACCGAGAAGGCCCTCTGCCTGGTTCCCTGTAACCTCACTTCTTGCAATGAGGGAACTGCCAGAAGGCCCTTGGAGCTGGACCTCAGTGTCTGGGCTGAACGATGGGGGTGGAGACGCTCCTTCAGGTATACTGGGCCGAGGCCGTTTAGGGCTTTAAAGGTCAGCACCAACACTTTGAATTGTGCTTGGAAACGTACTGGGAGCCAATGTAGGTCTTTCAGGACTGGTGTCATATGCTCTCAGTGGTCATTCCCAGTCACCAGCCTAGCTGCCGCATTCTGGATTAATTGCAGCTTCCAGGTCACCTTGAAAGGTAGCCCCACGTAGAGCGCGTGTATTGCTTGAAGCACTTTCAACAATGATAAGCAGCATAAAGCGTGTTCTCCTTCATGGAGAGCACGTGTTGCATTGGGACAAACAAGACATCCCTCTGTTGCTGTGCGGGTTAGTTTGGATGGCCACGGATCTTATTGAGCACCTCTTGGTCATTAGGGAGAATTTGATGTTGCAATTTATGATTGACGGCCAAGGGGCTATTTATTCCCTGTGCGCAGCGTTGAGCTGCCTCTTTTCGCGGCACACATCGAATCACCTTCCCACCCTCCCTATATTTAGGGCTGTTTGCGTTGACATTGCTATGCCTGTCATAGGGTCGTCTGCTTTGGGGCAGGGACCTTGCAGAAATTTTTCCATTTGGCTGATTGGGTGGTTAAAGGTAAAGGTAAAGGGACCCCTGACCATTAGGTCCAGTCGTGACTGACTCTGGGGTTGCGGCGCTCATCTCGCTTTATTGGCCGAGGGAGCCGGCGTACAGCTTCCGGGTCATGTGGCCAGCATGACTAAGCCGCTTCTGGCAAACCAGAGCAGCACACGGAAACGCCATTTACCTTCCCGCCGGAGCAGTACCTATTTATCTACTTGCACTTTTATGTGCTTTCGAACTGCTAGGTTGGCAGGAGCAGGGACCGAGCAATGGGAGCTCACCCCATTGCGGGGATTCGAACCGCTGATCTTCTGATAGGCAAGTCCTAGGCTCTGTGGTTTAACCCACAGTGCCACCAGCATCCCTGATTGGGCGGTTAAAGGTAAAGGTAAAGGTACCCCTGTCCGTACGTGTCCGACTCTGGGGTTGCGCGCCCATCTCGCTTAAGAGGCCGGGGGCCAGCACTGTCCGAAGACACTTCCGGGTCACGTGGCCAGCGTGACAAGCTGCATCTGGCGAGCCAGCGCAGCACACGGAAACACCATTTACCTTCCTGCTGGTAAGCAGTCCCTATTTATCTACTTGCACTTTGACGTGCTTTCGAATTGGGCGGTTAGGCATTGGTTAATTTTGCTTGGTGGAGGGGATGTGGTTGGCTGTGCCTGCCCCTCCAATGCTGCTGCTGCAAGGGTATTCCGGTAAAGGAATCCAGGGGCTCGCCGTCCTCTTGTCTGAATCCCTGGTAAGGGGCTTGGGCTGTGCAAGCCCCTGGGAGCATTTGGGGAGAGGTGAGGGACTGGCACCCAGCTCTATTCTCTCCTTAATATGTTTTCCCTTATTGACTTTGCAGGCTTGCGGATGTCAGTTCTGTTCCTACCTCCAGGTGGGAACAGATAGTCGCGAACCAATGCCTAAGTAACCACTCCCATTCTGTAATCAATAAAGTTGTGGCCAAAAAATTATGCCAAAAACCTTAAACAAAAATTCTGTGTGAATTGTGTTTTATTTGAGGGTGGCTTGGGGACCTCGATATGCAATTAAGAGATCTTGTTGTCCATAAATTCTGTTTCTTTAGATTTTTTTTTAAATGTGGAAAGATATCTAGTGCCTGGCATATATGCAAGTTGTCCTCTTGTCCAAAACCATTTTAGTCTATGCTGTCAATAATCTGCAGATTAAAAATGTAATGAACAGTTGCATTTTTTAAAAACAAAACAAAAACAAACACCATAAACTTCCAAGCCACTCGCCACTTCCAATTCACATCCCTGCTTCCAGTCCTTTCTGTTTTGTGCTGGGAAAGAGGCAAGCTGAGAGGCTCTGGTCCCCGTTTCCCCAGGGAATTGTGACACATTTTCTTATACCTCAGACCATACTGAGTTTGCCTAGTCAGATTACATTTGCAGGTCTAGATTGTGTAGGCAGCCGGGATTTAAAATCGAAAGGTGAAAAAGAAAGCACCGTGGTGGATTTAAATCAGTAGCCGCAGTTCAATTCATTTATATACTTTCCTTCTCCCCACCCACTCAAATACACCCAAGCTCTTTGTGCAAAGAGATTTATCCCCCTACCCCACCCCGGAAAAAACCCCAGGGCCTCCACATAACAGGGGCAGCACCATTTTAAAGTTCAGTGGGAAAGAGGCAAAATGTTCTGCAAAGTCTAAAGGGCAGTTCTTCATGATTAAAAAGCAAAGCAAAGCAGTGCATTTTAAAAGCACCTGTTGTGGCTACCCTTTTAGCCCTCATAATAGCTATATCAATGCAGGTCACTCATACTTTTCTAAACAAAGGGATCTGCTCTAGCCTCATTATTTTTTTTAAAGCAAAGAGGTCTTTAATAACCAGATAGTACTGGCACCTTCACCTGCATCTGATAAGACTATCATTTTCATCAGTGACTCCATGGGTGACCTGATTCATCTGCTGTTACCCATAACTTTGTTTTGGTACTCAATTTCCACTTCCCTTCTGTTCCTTTTTCCACATGCACCTCCTCCTCCTCCTCCTCCTCCTTCTTCTTCTTCTTCTTCTTCTTCTTCTTCTTCTTCGTTGTCATTATTTACCATAGCAGGCTGTGTTGCCTATGTGGGGCATCTATTTTGTTACTTGGCTGTTTCTGTTTTATAAGAAGATGAATGAAACTAATCATCGTTGTCATCAAAGGAAAAGGGATGTGTGCTCTTGGCATGCTGACGGTTTTAGCAATGGTCACTCAGTGTACAGGATAAAAGCAGTGAGAAAAAGAGTTCCTTCAGAGAAATGAGCACATTCTTGAAACCAAGGAGAGTGTGGTGGCTGCAATTTTGAAAAAGTGTGCAAAGCACATTTTCCTATAAAGTATGTGTTAAGTTGTGGGTGAACATATCAGACAACACAGCGATTCTTCAAACAGCTCTTGTTTATTCACAGGCCAGAACAGAACTGAACTGAAGGGTTCAGCCAGCCTGCTTATATAGAGCTCCATTACAACGCAACTGTAACAACTTTCTGTAACTATCCAATCACTGAATGTCACTTTCAGTCCCTTATTTGCATATGTGGACCTGAGTGAAAACTATCTACAGTATCCCGCTGCTAGCCCAGGGTGAGAACTTCAGTACATAACAGTATGCAACCTGGAGGCACAGCAGTACTGCCAGAAAGAACTCCTACCAAATTCTCAGCATCATTTCTGTATCATCCTAACATGTTCCAGGCCAGTGTTTCTCAAATTCTGAGCAGCCGAGGCACTTTTTTTCTGAATAAGAATTGGAGGCATGCCTTATTTTGAGGAGTATTTCTCCAACATGTAAGAACATAACATGGTAGTGTACAATAAATCAGGGTTGTTCTTCTACTCTGGGAATCATTCTCTATAGTGGCATTCCTGTCTATACAATGCCCTCCTGTCACAATTTCAGCTAGTTTCAGGCACCTCGCAAAGTCATTTTGTTTATTTAGGCCTGTAGTTTTCTTTTTCTTTTTCTAAAGTATTTTCTAGTAAACACTTCCAACATAACAAATTATCAATGCAAATAATCAAATACAATATTTCCCCCTTTTTTTCTCCCCCCTCCCTCCCCCCCACCAAGGACTTACCTCAGCTCCCCTCTCTGATTTCTCTACACATATTGTTCTCTGCATGTTATAAAATTGCACATATCCTTGCCTTATCTATCATGTATTCAGCCAATAAATTTGTGGGTGTTTATTCAAAACCTGCCAAGGAGTCCAGTTCATTTTGTTGTCTTTTTAGGTAATTTGTAAAAAGTTCTCATTCTTCCTTAAAGTCACAGTTGTCCTTATCACACAGTTTGTATGTAAATTTAGCCAATTCCGCATAACTCATCAGTTTTTCTTGCCACTGTTCTTTGGTTAGGATTTCCGCATTCTTCCATCCTTGTGCTAGCAAGACTGTTGCCGCTGTTGTAACATACATAAATAAGTTCTTAGGCCTGTAGTTTTCAACCAGTGTGCTGTGGCACCTTGGGGTACCTTGAATGATGGCCGGGGGTGCTGCGGGCATCCCTGGCTTCTGTCCCTCTTTCCTTCCCTCCCATCTCTGATGCCCTCTCATATCTCTGCCTCCCAAAAGCTTGCCCAGCTGTTTCTTGCAGCAGCCCTGGCTACAAGCTTCCCAGGCAATTGGTGTCTATGGGGCTGGCCAGGGGGCGCTTCCCAGGCCCCTGTGGGGCAGTGGAAGGAGGCACCTTTCTTTGGGGCAGGAGGGGGGGAGCAGCTCAGAGACCAGGAGTGGCAGCTGCCCAGAGGACTCCCAAGGAGAGGGGAAAGGAGAGGAGGCTGAGGGGCGGTGTTTGAAAACAGGTGAGAGGCTGCCAGCTCTGCAGGCAATGGGTGACATAACTGGGTTCCTGAGTCCCTCAGGGGTGCCGCAAAAAGAATGTAGTTGGTCATGGCAATTGGTTAGTTGACTGAAGAAGATGTTTTGTCGTTCTTTCACTGCTGAGATGTAAATTTGATTTATTGTTGCTTTTTAAAGATTGTTTTAGTTTATTATATATTGCATATAGGCTGTACCCTGCTCTTGGATTGATTTTTAATGAAGAGCAGGTTATAAATTACCTAAATAAATAAGCAATTAACACGATGCAGCCTCAGTGGGGTGAAGTACCAATATTTTCAATGTGTTTCTCCTGTTTTGCACAGATGTGAAACGATGGGCTTTTTCTGTGTGGTTTGTTCTTTTTCTGTTTTCCCATTGTAGACTCAATCCACCCATGACTCACAAAAATTTAAGGAAAGAAACTCAGTCATGAGCACTCAAATTCCACCCCACCCAAACCCTTGCCAGAATGAGACTTTCCCTTCTGCTTACATCATCAGCCACTGTAACCATGGCAACCTCCCCACTCTATACCTGGCAGGGTCTTCTGTTTTGTTGATGACTTGCATTGATGGGTTTTAATGAGTGGCCATTTCAGCCTGTGCTTCTTAATGGTTTATCCCCGGCTAAGCTGTGTCAAACTGGCACGGCTTGTTATCCTAAACTCAACCCAGCAATGTTTGGCACAGTTTTAGTCAAACCTTTATCAATTCTAACTTTTACCAGTTTCAGGAATGGCGGCGGTAACTTGCACCCACAGACTCTGGTACCCAAAACCTGTAACACTGGAAACAGAAGGCATAAATATCACTTTGCCATTTACACCGTCTCCTGAACAAAACCATGCATTTCCCACCTTACTATTTCTTTCTAACACCTCACTCCAGGCATAGTGCTGCTAATTGCACAATTAAAAGTAGCATCTAATTTGTGGTGGAATCTCTTCCTCTGTATCCTTCCTTACGGCCTTTCTTTGGAGTAAAGCTTCACTCACTTTATCCATTTGAGGACTAAGAGCTCCCACCTCTGTAACTGTTGTAGTAGCCATTTTAGGCTCAGCTTGAGGTGAAAGACTAGCTTGCTCGCCAATGGCAAAAGATAATATTTTAATGTTTTTTGCCTTATCTGCTGGCACAGTGGCGCTTAAAGGGCTTGGTCTTGCCTTTTGAGCCCAGAAAATTGCTCTTTAGGATGTGGTCTAGTGTAAGGTTACCAGATTTTTTTCAATGAATCCGGGGACACTTTTCAACTTCAATGGATTTTGTATGGGGACCGGTTTGTAAATCTGGGGACATCTGGTAACCTTAGTCTAGTGTGGATCCTGCCAGTAGTGGAAGGGAATACAGCACTTAGACATCCATCCTAGCTGAAAACATTGTTGATGAATGCCCCCCCCCCGCCCCCCGCTGTCTGTTTAAACAAAAACTCTCCTTCCTATTATCACAGGTAGTTAGAAATGACCATATGGTGTATAATAAAGGTAAAGGGACCCCTGACCATTAGGTCCAGTCATGGCCGACTCTGGGGTTGCAACACTCATCTTGCTTTATTGGCTGAGGGAGCCGGCATACAGTTTCTGGGTCACGTGGCCAGCATGACTAAGCCGCTTCTGGAGAACCAGAGCAGTGCACGGAAACGCTGTTTACCTTCCCGCCGGAGCGGTACCTATTTATCTACTTGCACTTTGACGTGCTTTTGAACTGCTAGGTGGGCAGGAGCAGGGACCGAGCAACAGGAGCTCACCCCATTGTGGAGATTCGAACCACCGACCTTCTGATCAGCAAGTCCTAGGCTCTGTGGTTTAACCCACAGCGCCACCATTATTATGGTGTAAAATACCTCACCTGCAATCTGGCACAATACCTTTTGCATTCATTTTCTGATCAGGCATTGACAGAATAATTATTCATATTGTAAATCTTGTTTTCCTATAGGCTGTCATATTTGAACCGTATGGTAATTTTTGTGTTGGACTGTATCTTTTCCTGGATATAATTTCAACTCAGTTGCACATGTTACTTCCTATGCATCAAGATTGGCATTTCACAGCTAATGTTGGCTCTTTCCTAAAACATATTTGAAGTAGTCCAACATAAGTTAACATCTTTCTTATAAATACTTATATATCGAATGAAAAAACAACACACCACAACTCTCTCACCCCTCTTTCCCTTTTGAAATCAAGTGCTTCAAAGGGGAAAATTCAGCATGATAGACTACGTATTAATTTTGGGGATTATGTTTCATAGAATCATAGAATCATAGAGTTGGAAGAGACCACAAGGTTTAGGCTGCAGCTTTTGAGATTTATCTTTGAACTAGAAGTATATCTCTTTTTGGGGGGATTTTTTTAAAAAATAACCCCCCGATATATTTTTTAAATGATAGGCTTCATCCATAGTCACCTTGATTCCCACCCACCCCCTGGTCCTACTGATACATTTTTAAAATCATATGATTTGAATGGCTGTGAATTGCACCCACTGTGCAATGGCAAGGTGGAACCAAAAACCTGTTTAAATTAATGGAACAATTCCCACCAACTTCCAAGTGCTCTTAAGCAAGCCTAATGAATGAAAATGTGAACAGTTTTATTTTTCCTTACAGCACTACTATTTATGTAGTAATAATAATGACTATTAACCTACATTATTTTTTCGATAGCTCGGTGAGCTTTAATAAAATACTGGTTGTAATTTGGTTTGATATTTTTATGCCACCATAATGAATTTGTTTGTTATTCATTGTAGCACCACTCTCTGCACATAAATCAATTTTGCTTAGTATTCAGCTCAGATAACACACATGTATTTCCAGAGGTTTTCTGGGGTGGGGGAGAGCTGCATATATTAATAAAACATAAGCAGAACCCAGTGTTTTAGATGCAATTAGAAAACACCAGACAATCTTTCTCTAGAATTTGTTTCTTGTTTTGAACGGATCCTGTTGAAGACTTAGAATCTGGCTTCTATTGAACTTTCTTGATAGTAGGGATAGTAGGGAGATGACTGCAATTTATGACAGGCAAGACAGCTCTGCACACAGTGTTATATTGCACCCTCACGGGAACCATGCCATTGGGAACCAAACACTTTCAAGGTGCTGTACGCACTGCAATGTTGTTTCCAAGTGTGCATAATAATAATGAAAAATTTTATTTATATCCCGCCCTCCCCAGCCAAAGCCGGGCTCAGGGCGGCTAACAACAATAAAATAATACAACATTCTAAAGTCATTTCATTA